AAACCCCAAAACCCCAAAACCCCAAAACCCCAAAACCCCAAAACCCCTTAATGCTGTGTATTCAATGAATCTAAAGGAATAAATACTGTACTTCGTTAATATTTATCTAGCTTTCAATGAATATGAAATTAATTAGGATGCTTAATAACTATATAGAAGTTAGCTAGATTGAGTGGGGTTGATAGAGTTATTAGTTAGAATATACAGTTTATTTAACCATTAGATAAATATCACTATCTTGTATTAGAGGCATTCCCTCTCTTTCAGTGTGCTCATCTGTATCTTCTGAGAGAGATTTGGTTTCTTCTTTGCCATGATTGCTTGACTGATGGTCTGATACCAGTAGTCTTGACACCTCTCTTGTGGAGACCTCTGTGTCTCTTACCAGCAGAAGTGATACCTCTGTTTTCTCTGTGCTTTTGCTTGGTTGAAGCGATCCAGTTAATTCTGGCGTCTCTTCTGATGGCCTTGTGGTTGGGGTCAACAAGGATGATCTCGTAGAACTTGAAGGTTCCGTCTTGACCAACCCAGTAGGAGTTGAGGACTCTGAGGTTTCTGCATCTTCTTCCGACTCTCTCCTCAGCAATAGCTCTGTGGGATCTGGTTGGCTTAAGTTGGTTGATACCTTGGTTGACTGGCTTTCCGTAGACAATACCCTTTGAGACTGGCTTCTTTCTACCTCCTCTTCTGATTCTGATTCTGTAGATCACGTATCCTTGCTTGGCCTTGTAACCGAGCTTTCTTGCCTTATCGACTCTGCTTGGTCTGTGGCACTTGTGGATGACGGGGAGTTGTCTGTATTCCCATGATCTCATTCTGAGAACGAATCTAAGGACATCAGATTGCTTCTTTCTCCACATCTCTTCAAGATACTTGTAGGCTCCCATTTGAGTTTAATATATTTAATATAAAAATTTAGCAACCTTCAAATAAATAATCAATACTTGGTATATTAATGAATTAAACTTGGACATAAAACACAACTAATAGTATTTTAAAGGTAAAATTTAAAATCATTTGTTAAAGGCATTTCTTTATAAATATCTATTCTTCATACTCGAGGTCTTATTGTTTGAGATCTAAGTCCTTTGCTATTGCTGATAGGAATAGACTGGCTTCATAGTATTGTCATTTTTACCCTCAAACTCACTATACCTCATAGGTGAAAAATCATTATTTTAGCTTTTTCGAGATATACTACTCTATTTTAGATGGCTAATATTACTAATGCTACTTTGAGAGATATTACTTTTTGTTAGCAAGGGATTATACTCCTTGAACATCAAGTTTTCCATATCAATCTTGTACATCTTATTTGGAGATATATTGCTTTTCATCTCTTTCTGTGATGGAGATCTCTTTTATGGAATAGCCTGTCTTACTAAGCTGTCATTGTTTCCAATAGTAGAATGAGTGATCTATTTATTGTTGATAGCATTACTATTGTTATTTATTGGGCTTTATCTTGATTTTCTAATGCTTGATTGAGTATGCTTTATTTGATCCTAGTCAATGGTGTTACTCCTGCTATTTGATTTGTTCCTTGAACTTGATTTTTGTATTTCTCTAGAAAATGTATCAGACTGATTTTCTTCTATTTAAATAAATGATTACTTAACTGAATTGGTTTGAGATGGACGATTATTGATGGAATTTTATTTATTTTTCATAGCCTTTGACATTTAAACTTGCAAGTTGCTGTTTACTACTTTATTATTTATGTTGATATTGGGCTTTAAAGGTCTATTTTCATTCTGGGATTATTCTTCAAAGTCACTCTGATAAGTAACTTTTTTCTTTTTCTACGAAGATCCCATTCTATTTTAGCTTTAATTAGGAGATTAAGAAACATCTTTTGGTAACATATAATCGTAACAATCAAGACAATGCTTATTGTATCTTTTAGTTTTACTATTTGATAAATTGGCTTTTTTCTCAGCTGATTTAATCATACTTGGTCTTCTCAATGTCTAATCATTCTCAAAATTTGGAGTTTCAACATACTAACGTGGTCTTAAGTTTAATTTACGCGGTTTCTCACTTGAATCTTATAGCAAATTCATATAGTAAGAATATTAATCATCTAGTTTAGTTTCATTTAAAATTTTATTTTTAGTAGCACTTTCTTGGCTATTATACCCCTAAGTTTGGACCTAATCATCCAAACCCTTTGCAAGTTTAGCAATAATCTTCATTGAACTCATTAAAATTTAACCGTACTCTTGCTCATTGATTAGTCTTTCAAGTTTATTATCAAATTTTTCATTTACTATTTATCCTAAGTAAGTATTTTTATCTAGCTTAGTTATCAATTTACTCATTTATCTCAATTAATTTTGATCAACATAAAATCTCTCTTCATTTAGCTATAATTCTTTCCTCTTATTGTTTATTTTTAAACCATTACAGCCTCCACCATTCATAAACTCCTTGAATTAATCAGCCAACTTCTTAACTTCTAGTTGCATGTGATTATTTTAAAACACTATAGTCTCAAAGTATTACTTAGATCCTTAATTCATATCGCTCTTATTCTATTAGAATGCTTCTCTATCCATTAATTATTACTTTAGAAATTCAATTTCCTTGTTTAATTCTTCACTTTGATGTTATAACTAAGATTTAATATCAGCTTCTTCCTCGAGCTATTTTCTACAGTCTTCCATTTACTCATCATATTACTTAAAAATCTCTTCTTTCTCCAGATCTTATTGATATTGCAAATCCCTCAACTTTTACTTCTCTATTCTTTCCTAGTATAATTACTCCTAATAATAATGTTTTCATTAGAATATTTGAATTACTTAACAAGCTGATAGATCGATTTATAAAACTTTAATTGCATCTAATGAAAGCGTGAGAAAGTCCTCCAAAGAAGAAACAATCATATATGTTCTCTAAAATATTAAATTAGGACAGGATTTACTTAGCATACCTTATTTTAATTCTTTTACTCATCACAATTAAGCTATGAATTTTAGAGAATTTCCTTAAGCTACGAAATTTCCATTTATTTTAACTCCAAATCTTATGTTAAGTTGCGAATCAATTAAGTTTTACTATCATTCAGCTTCAGATGTGAAGATCTACTCTGCCCATGAAGAGTATTATGACCTGAGTTATTGTGACTAAGACTCTCATGAAATTCTTAAAAGCTGGATCTGTGATTGCTTTCTTATATATTTAGGAGAGTACCTCTTTATAGGGTATCACTGGCTGAAAATCCCTAAGTTCTTTCGAGACTTTATCTTTAATTCTCAAAAAGTGACATTTTGAAATTTTTATAGATGTAAATTTTCGGAAATCCATACAGCCCTCCAACTAGATTAGTTGTAAACGTGGCTAGATATCTTGATTTAGAATTTCAATATGAGTTAATAGATTTATTCAAAGGAGAGCAGCATAAACCAGAGTACCTAGAGAAAAATCCTAAGAAAAAAGTTCCCTTAATAATTGAGTCTGATGGCTTTCAGCTAAGTGAGTCATATTCAATTGTGAGATATCTTGCTGAAAAGAATAACAGAGTCGACATTTACCCTACTGATCCTAAATAGAGAGCTGCTATTGATATGCATCTCAGTCTAATGAATGATCTGAGAATTAATGGTCAAATATATCTAACTGCTAAAATTGTTTTGCCTAAAATTGGAAAAGAAAATATTTTCCCAGAGATTGTCACTACAAACTCAAAGGTAAATCTTGACAAAATAATGAAGGAATACGATACCCTGCTAGAGGGAAGAAATTACGTGGTTGGAGATTCCCTTACTCTCGCAGACTTTAACTTGTTTGTGCTCTAGTACCCTCTTTAATATCTCCTAAAAGAATAGCTATAAGTCACTCATCCTAACATTTATAGATTTGCCTAACATTTAAAAGAAGTTTACCCAGTATTTGCCCAAGATGAGAAAGAATTTCTGGAATTTTTAAGCAATTTCTGAGAGACATTTTAAGACTGTTATTAAGAGTAAAGCTATTATCAAACTTTTCAATTATATTTATTAAAAATTTTAAAATTCTCATATAGATTTACTCGTGGGGTTTTGGGGTTTTGGGGTTTTGGGG